ATCTATTATTTTATTCTCAGAGTACAATTCAGCCACTTCAGCAGATAAACAGAGAGAATTGTGAAATTGTGAAACTGCTTACACGAATATAACCTAAGTACAAAAGTATTATTACCAAATAGAATAATTTCGAAAGGATATGGCAAATGATCGAGAGGTACTCAGAGAGATTTGGGAGGGAAAAATTCCCGTTTATTTTCAACTCGATCCCGAGGAAGTATGTGAATTACAAGCCCCAGATCCATTTTATTTAATGGTTTCCAGATTGAGTTATTTCCCACTCTGTACAGATAAGGTAAATCCAAAAATATTTGTTCATACAATAATCCAAATGCTTCAAAACAAATAATTTCACAATAATTTCATTATACCTCTAACCTTTACGTACGATTTTTCTGTAAATCTTGGAGCGAACATTTTTTTTATAAGAGAAGGTTGATAAAAATCATTGAATCATCGATTCTTTGGAACTCTTTAGAGAATACCTTTTCCTATCCTACTCATCCATTTTTTGGCACCGATTACCAGTAATCATATCAATGTTTTAATTGTTTAAAAGCAAACATTGTTTTGTTATAAAAAAAAAGGAAACTCAAAACCGGGTTGAAAAAAACGAATCATTCTACTGTATGCACAAAATTGCCAGATAGACTCTTGAGAAAAAGTGGTAAATTCTCTAAACTGTCACCTGAACTTAAATTTTGACACTTTATGACAAGAAATTGATATTATTCAAACCTAAATGCGAAAAATCTTTTCCTCCAGGTTAGAAAACATTTTATGAGACATATACAACAGGACAAACAGGAGAACGAAATGTGGCTTGAATTCAATGGCATCCCATTGAAATGGCATTTTCCAATTGGAGTTTTGCTTGATATTTACTCAAACGATGTACAATTACCTTGGAACATTGTTGTGCACTTCGACAAATTCCCCGAGAACGATATTATGCACTGTCCGAATAAGTAAGTAAACCATTCACCATCTTTTCCCAGTTAGTAGACTGTCCGTTTTTTATCTCCCTTGATTTCACCAAAGACTTTATTGAGCATCTCTACAATTTGCATATCTTACCCTCTTTTCAGTAGGTAATCTGGGTGTTCATTGCTGGCCCCTTCCTTTCCTTCATGTCGCATTTTTCACTCTATGAATGTGAATAATTTTTTGAACATTACATGAGTATCACATGAGTAAGCTCATTGAGAAAATTCTCATTGTTATTTTTTAAATATTTTTAAGACTTTTTTTGGTCATAAGCATACCAAAAATATGTAATAACCGCCTAATCAGCAAAACCTTCAGAATTGAAAAAGTATCATTGAGATGAGTCACCGTAGTGAGCGAGGGAAGGAGAGGTATGGGAAGTGGGATGAACATTGCGGAGTTTAATTTTGATGTTCTCATTGAAAATGAATTGAATGAAAAATTACTTTTTTTAACGCGAAAAAGAATTGTAGAAACAATGTATGAATTAAAAGTTTCCTCTATTGCTAATAGCTCGCAATTAAAATTTTTTAATACTTTTCTTAGCAGCAAAAAACCGGTCATTCATATCCCCATCAATCATTGCATTAGAAAACTGTACTTCATACATTGGTACTTGTTTTGATCGTCTTACACTATACGTTATCTTGGAAAAAATGTTTTAAAAACTTTAAATTTGATGAGGCAATTTTTTCTATTCATCATCACCGAATTTAACCATGTACAAATTGATATTGCCATTTCTTTTAAAGTTCAAATTTTTTTGCAGAGAAGTCGTCGAATCATATTTTCTGTCATGCATCAAGGAAGCTGATGTATTAAAACATCGAGGCACGATAGTCTCCAGCATGCAGAAAAAAGATCACAATCAATTGTGGCTCGGTCTCCTGAATGATAAATTCGACCAATTCTGGGCCGTGAACCGACGGTTAATGGAAGTTAACAACTCAGACGAAGGTTTCAAATACATTCCTTTTCGATGTTACATAAGTGAAGATCGATATGTTCAGAAATTAGTGAAACCAGTCAACGAAGACGGCCAGAGAAAAACATTGAAACACTTACTCAATGAAGTATTTCCTAACAAAACGGATCTCGAATTTCTAACACATGGAATTAATCCTCCGTTGGATACACCTCTTCAATGGCTTTCTGAACATATGAGCTATCCCGACAATTTTCTCCATCTTTGCATGTCTTCTTCGTAACTGTCAAGCTTCAAAAAGATACATGAATCAGTCTAACAATACTTACACGTGATGAATAAGGCTTTCATTTACTGGGAAGCAAATCAATATTCATTTTGATGGAATCTCAGGACCGATTACATTAAATTTGATTCAGAAAATCGTCGACAAACCGCCATAAAATTAATTACTTGTATATAACAAAGATGCGTAACTCGACGAGAAATCATGGAATTTGAATGTGTAGAGTGATAGTCGGTCCTGTTAAAAATATAACAGAAATACTTATACATTTATGTAATCGTCGATGAATAGTTGTTAGTAGTCTAACGAAAATTTGATGGAAAAATAAATTAG